ATCCAGCCCGGCTAACGCTCAATGGTCGGCGAAGAAGGCCAGGTTGAGGCTCGTCGGATTTGGAGCACGGATTATCGGCAGCGATGAGGATTAAGGTGAACATTGCGCGGACCCTGAACGTAAGCGTGACGTGGCAGCACCAGGCGTTCCTGAAAGCAGCGGCGAATGGATATGTGAACAGTTCCGAGTAGAAGACTGATTCGAGTCGCGTGGGAGGTCAGAGAGACGAGTACGAATTAAGTTCTGTGCGTCTCGCTTCCATCCGCAGACCATCGCCTCAGCCTCACTAGCAGACTACATAGTGACTAGCCATTCACTTATGTGGGGGGTGCCCTGTGCTCCTCATTCTCAAAAGCCCAAAATAATTATTGCATTGCAGCCCACCGCAGCGCGTCTGGACATTCCCAAACCTTTAATTACATACAACAGCCACTACCCACTGCCTTCACAGCGACCTGAACGACACATTCGACAACCTCCCTGCATACGGCGACCGTCATGGACTCTGTTGTTCTTCGGCCCTTGGACTCCATTGAAACGCACCTCAACGCCCTCGTCACCTCTTTGACACAAACCAATACCTTCGCCAATGCGCCGCAACTCGCCCAAGACCTCATCGCCGACGACGACGAGCTCGCCTCGTCCCTCTCCCTGCTGCAACGCCATCAGCAAAACTACGCGCGCATACTAAACCTCCGTGCAGAGGCCGCCACGCTGCAAGAACAGTTAAAGGACACAATTCGAAAGTGTGTCTCCTTCAGACAAGAGATCGGCCAAATCAACCCGTCAATTCTCGATCTGGACTCGGATGAAGATGGAGAAGACGAAGATTCGCAAGTTGCAAGAGTCGACTACCACACCCTTCTCACCTTCGCGGCGAGGATAGGCAAACACAATACAATCGCGGCGAGGGAAGCCGAAGCTGAATCTCTACGGAGGAAGATTGCCGCCAAAAACAAGGAGCAAACGTCGCCCCCTGCAGTTGCAAATGGCCTCGAGGCACCCTCGGCCACGGCCGAAAGCGCACCTGAGGGAACAGAGGAGGCCAGAGATGAAAACCATACCGCCGAAACAACTGCGGAACTGATGCGCATAAACAACACAATCGCCGTGCAGCGCGCACAAATGGGCGTGTCATTCCCTGACGCGGGCATATTACGCGTCGGCGCATTGGGACAGCTCCAGCTATTCTTGGAGCGGCAGCGACAACATTCGGGGGTTGATGCGGGTGCAGGACAAGAGGAGGCCAAGGCCGTGCAGGAGGCGTTGGAGAAGGAAGTGGAGAAGATGGTCAGAGAGACCGAGGACATTGCAGAGGATACAGGGACAGCTGGGGATATGGAAGAGGACGACACCACCGCCACCGCCGGTGGCTGGACAAGTCCGGTGTTGAAGCGTGGCTTGACGTTTGAGGGAGAGAGCAATCAAGATGCCCCTGCAAGTGCCGGCCATCCCTCTACGGGTCAAGCGGCACTTCCTCCAAAGCCGCCCAAACCACCGCAGCCGAAGAGGAAGCTCGACTTGGACTTTCCCGACAGCGACGAGGAGGATGAGGATTGATGCAGATCCCCCCCTTTTCAGCAGAAGCGACTTGTTCAAATGCAAACTTTTCAAGGGATTTATTTGCCCCATATCCGACCCAACCACTTCAGCAGAATCAAAGGCCCAACGGGGGAAGAAGACGCTCGATCGTCCGAGACGGATATCCATCCTCTCTTACTTCTTGCTTCTTCTACGGCAGGGCATACTCGTGCAATAGACACATGCTATGTCACGTTCATATGTCTGCGCTTGCAGCCTCGCCAACGCTTGTTGCAGAGCAGGGCAGAGTAGACAAGGACAGAGCAGGGTCGAACAAGGAAAAAATGTCTCCCCACTTGAAACTATTCTCTTTGGCTTTGTCGTATCTGTGAACGCAGCTTCATAGGTACCTGCCTACCTACCCATCTATCTGGGTATTCCTGTACATTGTTGTCACTATCGTCACTCCTGATAGACCATGGATTATTGCTGACAGACGACCTTTGAAACAAATGTTCTTGTATCTCCTGCCCCTCCTGCACCGGTTCCATGCTCACACCACAGCTCTGATTATCCCACAGACAGCACTTCTCTCCGAAGGGGTGGCCATACTCTCCAAATCCTTCGGCTCCCGCGCGTTATTCCTTGAACCAGTGAAGTTGACTATCCATGTTGTTTGTACAAGCCTACCCTCTCTGTCAGTCTTCGGTCCCCAAACCTCCAGAGCTGTGCTTCAGACACTTACTCTCTCGTGCTTCACCAACAACTCAGTCTGCACCATCCAGCAAACTACATCTGCCACGGTCTAGCGCCTGGTCCTGCGGCTCCCCTTGCGATTTCTCTGTCCAAAACTTTTCACGTCGCGGTGCTTTGGAGGCTCTGGAGATGGACTCTTTGGATCAAAATCATAGTCTCCGTCGGTGTCGTCGTCATCATTTTCAGAAGGAGTCTCACTTCCAATCAGATCAGACAGTGTTGGTGACTTTACCCGCTGTGCCGCTGGCTTGTTGAAACCGTGTGAGGATAACTGATCGTCGGGATGGTAGGGAGGAGTTGGTTCGTCTCGGATAGAACGGTGTGGTCCACCTTGTTTTGTGAGTGGCATCATGTTCCGGGAGAAGTTAGCCTCATCGCCAGATGCGGCGGGAGTGAATCCAGCGGACGGTGTTTGTGGTAGCTCTGAAGAATGGTTTCGCCCTGCCTGGGTTGTCGTGTGATATGGCGACTGGAAGGTGTTGTGTCGTGTCTTGCGGATTCGCGGTTCAACCGACCTAGTCATGGTACTTAGATCCACGTCGGGTCCGTCTGTGGTGCTGTGTTGAGTTCTGGCAAGTTTTGGGGTAGCAGCACCGGCCTCCTGGTCAGTATCATCCAGCGCAACAAAGTGGTAAGATGGGGAGCTCATCATGCTCTTGTCCAAGTGTCGCGCCTTCTCAGCGTCTGTGTCACCAGGGTTTTGTCTTGCAGTATTGACCATGGGATTATCATCGCGGAAGAGACCCTCGCGGCGATAGAATTGTGGATAACGGGGGTATTGCTTAGTGTAGAAGGCCAGTTGCTGTTGTGCGCGAAGCTCTCTTTGTCTTTCTTGATGCCATGTAGCTTCTTGTTCCACCCGTCTTTGGCTCAAGATATCTGACTTCTGCTCCTCCAGCTTCTGCCGGATGTACTGCGCCTTCTGTTCGTCAAGACAAAGCTGATAGCGTCTTGTCATCTCGGGGTCAGTTTCTAGCTTGTGCTCGGCAACCCCTTGGTAGGACATGATCTCCTCGGGCCTCTTTCTCGTCATGATACCGTACCTCAGGTTGGAGAAGGACTGGACCCACGCGTTGCCGTCTTGATGCATGGCTTCTTCCAAAGGGGGCAGCAGAGGGCTTGTGCGCGGAGGAGGATCGCGCTCGTCGGTCAACATCTGCTCTTGTGATGGATGATCCATGCTTGAAGCACAAATAGCTGTGGCGTTGGGTGTGTGTAGGATCTTTGGGTAAGGGTCGATGGATGGCGAGACGATGCAGGAGAAGTGGAAGTGACATTTTTATATTGTGCCAGGTAGAGCGGCTCAAGTGAAGACAGCAACGCCTTTGCCTGAGCGCGTAGTCCAGTCGACCGCCAAGTTCAGTGCTAGGGTACAGTCGGTCAAGGTCGGTTGCGGCAGTCGCTGTCAACATCTCAAACGCGACCTTTTGCTGTGAATCTGGTCAGCGCTGCCGCACCCCAAACAATGACCATGTATCCACCCAGCAGTGAACAAAGGGGGAAAAGAAAATCACACCCATATATATTGTAATGGACAAATTTCTGTCAGCAATTCAAGAGCTGGTACAATGGTACATTGGTGTAAGGCTTGTTCACACGCCCTCAAACTCTCACCATTGATCATCCTTTCTGGATCCCATCTACCTAAGTCGCCGCCGACTGAGAATACCCTGAAGTCCATTCAATCTGCTGTTGTAGGAACTCTACTAAGCGAGCATCTCCCTCGATCAAAAGTCATGGTAACTTCAGGTATGATCATAGGTTCATCTCTTGCGCAGGAGTTCAGGGAAAGGGAAAAGGAAATGATCATGGGATTGTAGAAGGCACGATGGACACGGAAGCGTCCTCTTCTGTTTACCATTTTGAATATGCTAAAGGAAAAAATAAAACCTTACCAGAGGGTCGGGTTTTCTCATACGTGAGTTTTTGCAACCTGAGATAAGTGGAGTATGTGTGTGTATATAGGGAGGGGGTTCAATTCAGGGTCAAAGAAAAATACTTATTTGTTTCCTTGTGAAATTTCTTTCTTTCTTTTGTTTTGATAATGTGCGAGGAAAATCACTACTTAGCATAACAAACCCAAGTGAATCATGTCTGTCAGTGAGAATTAGTTACCTCCAGCTCAAAGGTCACTAGCATTGGAGCATACAATCCTTTTTCCTATTACCACTTGAACTTACTTAATAGTTCTTTTCCATATGGCAAATTGACGGACCTGACTATTATTGATAATGATAGCCCTATGATGAAGAGCATCACAATCAGGCCAGCCACATATTCAACATGATTTGTGTTGTCAGGGGTGATCCGTAGTGGAATGAATTTACTGAAGCTGAACCCTCCGGCCATGTTGTTCTTTATACTGGGGATGAGGGCAGAGTATATAAGTGGCTTGTACAAGTCAACTATAATAGTGATCTTAGAGTATTAGCTAAGTAGTCATGATAGGGCCGAGAAAGAGCACGACTTACTTACCTATATACTCCATGCCCGAGTGCCAGGCCAACATTACTGTTAGGAAAGGGGCGTCAGCCTTGTTGGGGAAGCGGTCTCCAATTTCGGTCAGCGACGCTAAAATGCAGGATCACAATCCCAGATGCATGAATAAGTAGGAAGATTGACAGTCAAACGTCGAGATTGGAGTCATGAGTTGATTCAAATGGCTGTCTAGATCATCAATTAAATGAGTACGTAGAAGAATGGAGGCAGTGGTGGAATTGTCGTTAGCTCCCTCGCTTTCCCCATCCACTGAAAAATCCTCCGGTGCTTGCCGTCGGTGCATGTGTAGATTTGGGAGTTTCTTTTGGTGGCTGACTTGCCGCCACAGCAGGCGTCGTTGGTGACTCGGTCGCACTGGCTCGCGTCGTAGGGGAGGATGTCGATCCACCCAAGATCTTGCGCAAGGCATCTAGCTTTCCTTTGGTCTCCTCCAACTCCTGTCGTGCCACCGCCTCAGCTGTCTTGGCATTCACCAACTCCAGCAGTAGTGTATCATTCGAGATGGGCTCGTGGTTTTCAGTGGCGAGGACGGCTTGGGCGTTGAGGCTGCTTGAACGCTTAGAGTAAGGCCCAACACTGCTTGATCGGGGCAATTCCGGTTTGCCCAATTTCAGCTCTCGCAGTCCAGATTTTGGGGGAGGCAACTTCAGGTCTGGGAATTCAGTGACAGGGGTGTAGAGGTCGGCAGGTGAGTCTGGCACCGAGTTATTGCGGGAGCGCAACTCGCTGACCGTCCTTTCCAAACGCTGCTTGTCACGATGCGCATCCTGAATCCGAGCTCGAGCATCTCGCAGCTGCTCTTTGAGAGTGTTTTGCTCTGCTTCTCGCTCGTCAAGTTGTCTCATGAGATCTCGACACCTCGTTACCTCGGCATCATGCTTCTCCTTCAACTCCGAAACTGCGTCGCGGAGCTGGTGTTTGGATTGCGACACGGATAGTCGCTTGGAGCCGTCCCGACACAGTTGACATTCAGCCTGAGCCATGAGAATGTCAAGTTCCATATCTTCGTCTGTGGCCTCCGAGTTATCCACATCCACCAATTCTCTGATATCGGTCGTCTGCCGTTGTAGTCGCTCCAGCAATTTCCGGGCAATCTGCCGATCCTCTTCACGTTCTTCTCGCTCTTTCTGAAGCTCTTGGGCAAGTTCCACATGCTGCCGTTGAACTTTGGAAAGTTCTGTAAGCAAATCTTCGATCTGGTTATGGAGATTGCGATTGCTGGAATCGGGAGTAGGTACGATTGCAGAATGGACGCTGGTGGCAGCGGATACGGTCGATTTCGGCGGTGCTTCTTCCGAGATATCTGTGGCAAGTGTACTGATGTCTGTGTTGGTTGTCTCAAGCGAGTTAAGGGTCGATGTCAGACTTTGTCCTGAGGACGATTTCCGAACCGACTTGTTATTTCCTGGGATTGTAAGACTCAGATTCTGGGATCTAGATGGCGCGTGGGACGAGCCTGCCCAGAATCTCCCCAGGAACGAGGACACGGCACCTTTCAATGAGGGTGCCGCCGTTAAGTTCAGCGAGTGCCTGAAATTTGCCTCCAGTGAGTCAAGGGACTCTCGGCTCACCAACCCAGTCAATGACACAAAGTCCGATACCAGATCATCTGCATGCTGTGCATAAGTGTCCCAGAGACTTCTCGACAGCAAAAACTGCATCGCGTCCTCAAATTCGGTGGAGGCAAGTAGCTTCTTCTGGTTCCGTTGCATCAGTGACAACGCAACCCTCATCAGCGTTTCTGTTGCTCCTTCGGACAATATCACATCGTAAATTCTGAGAAGCATAGGGAGTGGACAGGTGACGGCGAAAAATGACAGGAACCATTGTGACACATATAATGGTTCGACCTTTAACTCCTCAAGATGAGCCGCCAGTTGTGGTAAGTGTCGAATCAAAAGTTGCTGGAACTGGTATATTCGAAGATGTAGTCCAGACAAATCGGGTAAATAACATGAACGCAGGTCATAATTTTCCATAAGCCTACATTGGTGTCAGCTTTCTCAATGAAAAAGGAGCGGTGTTCAGACCTAACAAGGATGCAAAAAGCTTCCGGTTCGCTCATGTGCATCAGGAGTGGCCCAACGACGAATCCAAGGCCCTGGCAATACCCGATTTTGCTGTCGTAAAGTGAGAAAGCTTTCAAGACTTTGCCGAGCATTCTCTGGCCATCGCCGTCCTTCTCCCTAAACATGTCCACGTTGGGAAAGCTCCTGCCCACATCTTTTCCAATCAATCCATCGTAAGGCGAAGGCTCATTGGAGAGTCTCTGATATTCTGAATGTAGAAATCCATCGTGAGCTTGAGCAATACTGGGCCAGACAACACCACGTAGCGGTGGTGGTACACCTCCTCGAATCTTGTTGGATGTCAGAGTGGGTAGTCGTTGGGCTGTTTGAGTATAATCTTGAACCAATGCTGCCCAAAATTCCAATTCTGTCATGGGAGGAGCAGGAAGTAGCGAATACCTCAAAGATTGGCGCTGGGGACCATCGACCATTCGTTTGAGCTGCTGTACCGAAGGAGGGCGGGTGTTTTTGCGCGGGCGCGAAGGCGTTGTGATGCCGGCTTTAGGATTGGTGGCTAATGCTGCATTCTCCTTCTCCAAACGCGCCAGCAACAACGTCGTCGACTACCTCTTGTTAGCCGCAGTTATAGCCAGAGATATCGAGAGCTCACCTCATCCGTGGCTTCATCCCTCTGTTCCTGTTCCTCCGATTTTTCAAGACCCTCCCAGTTAACAGAATTTAGCGAAATTGAGCTTTCGGAAGTATGGGAAGAGGATCGACTGGTGCGAGATGAGGGCGGACCGCTGCGAGGCTGCGAGGCCTCTTGAGAGATGTCTGGTTCAGCGATGATGTCGAGATCGGGATCAAAGGGTATATCCGACAGTCGCACTGAGACCATTGAACTGTGAGGTAGAGGTACATTCTCGGGTTCTATATCACTTCCATTCTCGAGCATGGTCTCGGAAGGGACTGGCGGGATGGCTTCAACTTCGGCCATGTCGGTTGTTCCTGGGAGCTCTAAGGCAGTCTGTCACCCTTATAGAAATAGCGATATACGAGGCGGGGGTGATAAGAGAGGCCCAGATTCCAAGGGCGAAAGAGTGAGCACTTGGAGTGGTTGATACTTGGGAAGCTGTGACGGCCCGCAGATATTACAACGAGAGACTGCTCGCCAGGTCTGCCAGCGACCGTGCGAGGGGAGTGCGATGCAAAGAAGCAAGGAATGGCTATCGTCAAGGACGATGAAGGGGAGGAGGAAAGCGAGCACAGTCCATAGGTACTTTAGGTCGGACATGTTTGAAGCAGTAGTGGGCCAGGGGGCTTCGAAACTATGGATTCGGCACTAGTCCGCCGTGCCCGCCAAATTGTCCACACCCAATGCTTTGATTGCCCACCATTCATGCAATTTCGGCTCTCTGCATGCTCCCAGAGTACCGAGTCCTAAATCATGAGAAGGAAGGACGCCATATGATGTATATTGTCCCTGCATGGAACTCTTTACAGATTGTGTATACTCAAATATTGTGGCCCTGCAGGAAGGGTGAGTTTTCAAGAGCGCGCCTTGGAGAAGAAACGCGTCAATGGCGTTGCGGGGAGGAGGAGGAGGTGGTGGTGGTGGTGTTGATGGGTGGCCGTATTGGCGAAGCATTCTGACACACTTCTAAAGCCGCAAGTGCAGTAACGAGGAGCGAATGTCACGCGATGAGTTACTGCCCCAGACGAAGAAAGGGCTACCTATGAATTACTGCAGTTAGTCGAAACTCGATCTGACAAAGATCAATACCTCATGTTCGGAGTATTATTATTGTTGAACTGGGGCGACACTGCAAAGTCCGCGGCACAGAACTATTGGACACTTAGTTGCAGACCCGCGGTTCAGACTTTCGAATATGGAGCAACAGTTTTAAGGGGCTAACAATGGCTCGTTGCCACAGCACAGGCAATGTCACAAACTATCATCGATTGTGTTGCCACTAATTTGCAGACTCGCATAGTACTTTATGAATCGTCGATGTGATAGATAGTCGTCCCATGAAAACATTCAACTGGCTTTGAAGAGCGGGAAAATGCAGTACTTTCGTATTAGAGATAGTTCAGGATAGGTATTTCCTATATAGGCTTAGTTGTGACGCGAGCTCTTGGCGACTGTGGGGCTTCTCTACTCCCCTTCAAGGTTGGTTGTGTCGTTGTTTACAAGGTCAACAACTGCACTGGCGTATCAGAAAATGCACTGCTGAGTCTTCCAGAACCGTCAAGATAAGAGAGATAGTAACATCTCTCTGCGCCGCATGTATTGACAGCCGCATTTTCCTCGACCCAACTGCTGGGCGTTCCTGATTCACCTTTCTCTCCGATTACACCGGCGTGATGGACTCCTCAATTTTCGACATTGATGATGGCTCGGACTTTGAACCCGCTACTGTATGTTCCAGCGCGTTTTCCAAGAGTGGAACGCAGTTCTAACAAAGCTACTCAGAAACCCAAGACCAAACCCGTCAAGAAAGCCTCTGAGACCAAGCCCGCGACAAAGAAGGCAGCAGCTCCAAAAGCGAAACCTGGCCCGAAGCCAAAGACCACCGTTCCTAAGAAGCGCGCAAAGAAAGACTCGGAAGATGAGGCCTCAGATGATGAGGCCGGTAACCCCTTCAACGATGAGTCCCTGCTTGAAGACACTCCTCCACAGGCAAAGAAGGCAAAGCCAAACCCAAACCCGGTCAAAGGGAGCCACAAGAAACCTCTCGGTGATGTCGTCAATGAAGCTTTAGGCCTCGATGGAGCGAGCGATTCTCCACAGCCTCAAAAGAAGAAGAAGCGCGTCTCAGAGCAATACCAGAAACTCACGCAGTTGGAACACATCATCAAGCGTCCCGACACCTACATTGGCTCAGTCGAGCGCACAGAGAGACAAATGTGGGTTTACAACACAGAGCAAGACTGCATGGAGTTTCGCGAAATATCTTTCGTTCCCGGTATCTTCAAGATCTTCGACGAGATCTTGGTCAATGCTGCAGACAACAAGCAAAATGACAAGAAGATGGATGAGATCCGTGTGACAGTCGACCGTGAAAAGGGGGAGGTCAGCGTGTGGAACAATGGCCGTGGTATACCTATCGAGATTCATTCGAAAGAAAAAATCTACATTCCAGAGATGATTTTCGGCCATCTTTTGACCGGCTCAAATTACGACGACAACGAACAAAAGATCACCGGTGGCAGAAATGGCTACGGTGCGAAGCTCGCCAACATCTTCAGCACGGAATTTACAATAGAGACCTCCGACTCCAAGCAGAAGAAGAAATACAAGCAGACTTGGACCAAGAATATGTCCGAGATGGGAAAGGCCAAGATTACTGATTCCAAAGGGGAAGACTATACCAAAGTGACATTTTACCCCGACTTTGCGAAATTCGGCATGACGGCCATGGATGACGATCTCGAAGCGCTTTTCAAACGTCGAGTTTATGATCTTGCTGGCACCTGTAAGGGGGTCAAAGTCAAGCTTAACGGCACCATGATTCCCATCAGAAACTTCAAGAAATATATTGAAATGTATACCAAAGCCATCAAGAAGGAGCGAGGCGAGGAGGCGGCAAATGACAACTCTGAAATCATCACAGAGTCTCCCGATCCCCGTTGGGAAATTGGCTTTGCCGTGTCTGATGGCTCGTTCCAACAGGTGTCATTCGTCAACTCAATCGCCACTACCTCAGGGGGTACACATGTCAATTATGTTGCTGACCAGATCGTCAACCGTCTCATGGACGTTGTCAAGAAAAGAAACAAAGGCGGTGCCCAAATGAAGCCAAATCAGATTCGCAACCATATCTTCGTTTTTGTCAACGCCCTTATTGTCAATCCAGCTTTCACTTCGCAGACAAAAGAGCAACTGACCACAAAAGCCAGTCAGTTTGGAAGCAAATGTCAGATTTCCGACGAATTTATGAAGAAGGTTGCAAAAACCGAAGTCGTCAGCAACATTCTTCACTTTGCACAGCAAAAAGCCGACCAGATCCTCAAGAAATCCGACGGGAGCAAACGAAGCCGAATGAACAACCCGAAATTAACCGATGCAAATAAGGCTGGCACGAGAGAAGGGCACAAATGTACTTTGATTTTGACCGAAGGTGATTCGGCAAAAAGTCTTGCGATGGCAGGACGTTCCGTGGTCGGTCCTGACCTATTTGGTGTGTTCCCGCTACGAGGCAAGCTTCTCAACGTCCGAGATGCTTCTATTGACCAGATCTCCAAAAATGCTGAGATTCAAAACATCAAGAACTTCCTGGGTCTGCAGCACAAGAAGGTATACACCGACACCAATGGTCTCCGATATGGACATCTCATGATCATGACGGATCAAGATCATGATGGAAGTCATATCAAAGGGTTGTTGATAAACTTCTTGCAAGTTCAATTCCCTAGCCTGCTAAAGATCCCCCAATTTTTGGTCGAGTTCATTACGCCCATTGTCAAGGTGTGGAAGGGCGACCCAAAGAATCCGACCCAATCTCGCTCTTTCTACACCATGCCAGAGTATGAGGCATGGAAAGAAGCTCATAAGCACGAACGTGGATGGGAGAACAAATACTACAAAGGGTTGGGAACAAGCACGGCAGAAGATGCTCAGCAATACTTCAATGACATCGACAAGCATCACAAAGAGTTCGACGTCATGAAGGATGACGAAGCTGCTTTGATCGAACTTGCTTTTTCCAAGAAGAAGGCGGACGAGCGAAAGGAGTGGCTGCGGCAATTCAAGCCAGGGACGTTTCTGGACCACACAACCAAAAACATTTCTTACACCGATTTTGTCAACAAAGAGCTAATCCTGTTCAGTATGGCCGACAACATCCGATCCATCCCCTCAGTGGTGGATGGTCTGAAGCCCGGTCAGCGAAAAGTCATGTATGCCTGCTTCAAGCGCAATTTAAAGAAGGATATGAAGGTTGCTGAGCTGGCGGGTATGGTTGGTGGTTTGACGGCGTATCACCACGGTGAAACATCTCTCCAGCAGACTATTGTTGGATTAGCGCAAAACTTTGTCGGATCGAACAACGTCAACTTATTGGAACCTTCGGGCCAATTTGGTACCCGAAACCAGGGCGGTAGCGATTCTGCAAGCGCCCGTTACATTTTCACCCGGTTATCGCCCTTTGCAAGGAAACTATTCCACCAAGCCGACGAACCCCTGCTCTCCTACAACCTTGATGATGACAAGAAGATTGAACCTGAGGTATACGTACCGATCGTCCCCATGGTCCTTGTCAACGGTGCCGATGGTATCGGCACGGGCTGGAGCTCTTCCATTCCGAACTACAATCCAGAAGACATTGTGGAAAACCTGAAACGAAGAATGGCCGGTGAAGAGTGGAAGCCTATGCAACCCTGGTTCCGCGGATTCAAGGGTGAGGTCAAGGCTACTGGGCCTGATAGATATCAATTCAGTGGTATTATCCGCCAATCTGGTGACACTGAAGTTGAGATAACAGAATTGCCTATCCGCACATGGACGCAAGATTTCAAAGACCGCTTGGAAGAGATCCTCAAAGCAGAGAAGACCCCATCGTTCATTAAGGACTACAAAGATTACAATACCCATGACACGGTACATTTCATCATCCAACTGGACGAGAAGCACATGAAGTCGGCCCTTGAGGAAGGCCTTGTGGAAAAGTTCAAACTCACAAGGTCAGTGGCAACGTCAAATCTTGTGGCGTTTGATCCAGAAGGCCGTATCACAAAATATGCGAATGTCGAAGCCATCATGGACGAATTCTACAGCTATCGTCTGCAATTGTATGCCAAGCGCAAGGAGTGGCTTTTGCAAGAAATGCAGAAGGACCTCAGACGGCTCATGAATCAAGCTCGGTTTATTCAGATGATAATTGATGGGAAACTGAGTATCTCCAAGAAGAAAAAGGCTGTGCTCATTGCAGAACTTCAAAAGCTTGGCTTTGATGCGTTCCCAAAGACGCAAGATGCAGCTAAACAAGGTGAGACCGAGCCCGTTGTCGATGAGGATGATACCGAAGAAGATTCGGTTGACGCCAGCGCCTACGACTATCTTCTCGGCATGGCTCTGTGGTCCCTGACACAAGAGCGAGTTGAGAGACTTCAACGACAGATCGGGGACAAAGAGGAGGAAATCGATGTTCTCATGAAGAAATCGAAAGAGGATCTCTGGAAACATGACCTTGACGAATTCATTGCGGAATGGAGGTTCCAGCTGGAGGACGAGCACAACCGCAAGCGCAACATCCGCAAGGGCCGTCGAGTCTCGAAGAAGTTTGCTACAGCAGCAACGACAAAGCCCACCATCAAGAAGCGAAAAGGGCTCGGAGATGCGTGGGATGACGACTCTGATTTCCAGGAGTCTGCTCCCAAGGCAAAGAAGAGTGCGCCTGCTCCGAAGCCAGTTCAGGTTGCAAAACAGCGCTCCATTACAGCGTATGCTGCGCCGAAGACCAATGCCTTGAAGAATGCTTTGGAGAAGCGAGCCATGTATACTGATGGTGCCAGTGACCCTATTGAGGAGCCAGAGGACGGCGGTGCAAAGTCTGGCGATGATGGCTTTGCCAACGGTGTCAAGGACGAGTCTGACCATGAGAACCCTATCCCCAAAGCTGCACCCCGGCAAGCACGTGCGGTCACCAAAAAGCCGACAAACTATGCATTGTTGAGTGACTCTGAGAGTGACAATGGAGATGACCTGCTCGCTGATCTTGGCGACATGGTGAAAGGTCTACCAAGCAATCTCAGTACCGATAGCGGTGCTGAAGCGCGTGCCCTTTTCTCCAATTCTGTTTCTCGTCCAGGCAGCAGTCACGGTTTTAAGCCGGCTCTTAAGCCAGCTGCAAAAGCCTCGATGGATCTTTCAGATGATGAGACCGACTACAAGATGCTTGCTCCCCAACAGTCACCGAGAAGATCAATCATTGTGACAAATAAGGATGACACCAATTTTGTCCAGGATTCCGACGAAGATGAAGCTCCAACGAAGCCCACGAAGAAGCCTGTAACCAAGAAGACAAAGAATATTGTTAGCGACGATAGCGAGAGCGATGTCGCTCCGCCTAAAGCAAATAAGAAGGGACCTGCCAAAAAGCCAGTGAAGGATGAGCCAGTGAAAACAAAGAAGGCGGCGCCGAAGAAACCGGCGGCGACAAAGAAGGTGGAACAATCTCCAGTCGCCAAGGCTTATGCTAAAAGACTTGCAAAGAAGAAAGTGGTGGATTCGGATGACGACATGGATGCTCTGGCAGATGATATTCTGAAGTCACCTTCAGCCTCCGAGTCGGACGAACCGGTTGCAAAGAAACCGGCGGTGAGGCCGGCCAGGCGAGCGGTGACTGCAAAGAAGCCTAGCGTCTACACTTTTGATGACGATGAGGACGATGAGGATACCGGTTTCCGTGACGATGGTTCCTCGGCGGCATTTTCGGACGAGTGATTATGTAACAATGGCGACGGTTGGATGGATGAAGCACCGAGACAGTTGAGTGGGACATGGTTGGATGAGATATGAGATGGATGTGCATATGGATATCGTTTTGGAGTTCTGTTTTGGCTGCAATCGCATGGAGCTGCGGTTGGCACAAGATATCGTTCCGTGGGGATGCCGTTTTTTTCTTTGACGACTCGACGTTGGCAAACTTCTGAATCTTTCAAGACGACAATGCGTAATGGTCCCAATGGTTTCGGCGGGCTCATTGTTTTTGTAGTTTCAGCTGAGTTGGGCGGTATAATTGTCTCCAGTAGAATAAGACGAGCGAGGCCGAGGAAAGGAGCAGCAACAGACAAAAGGCAAAACGAATTGGAAGTTCCCGAAGTTTTATTATGTACGGGCTCGACATCTTTCAGCCCTCTACTTCGCTGGGATAATCACATTGATCCTTCATCCTGAGAGATGTGCAATGCGTAAAGTGGGTTGAGTAGAGCTGCTGCTTGAGGTCATCTCTACAGTAAATCCGCACAAGGCTGACAAGGCGCAACACGCAAAACCGCAAACTACTAATAGAAAGACTAGACGAAACCATAGTGCAAGCGTGTCGTGCACAGCTAGTATACGATAGTGCACGACAGCACCTCGGTATTGGTGTTTTGCGTGCTTTCATCTAGGGTCTGGGCCCCAGGGAGGCCCGGCGGCCAGGGATTTCAATTTAATATTAACCTCGAGCTTTTTCTAAACTCGGCAATGCTTGGCAACTATAATATGAAGACAACAAAACAAAGACTCCATTTACCCGCATTGCTGTATCGTACATGTCTCCACCGATCGAGTGAGATGTTCTGTCTTCTTACCTCGAAATGCATCACCCGCAAAGCGACCAAGATACCAATCCCAGAATATCTCTAGATCTTGACAACCTCGAGTTCCTCGCTGCTGGCAAATCAAGAATTGTTTACGGGATTGACGAGGAAAGAATTCTGAAAGAATACTATGGCGAGGAGAACGACGCTGATGTTGAGCGTCGCGCGTTTGCCCGCCTCGGCTCACATCCAAATATTGTGAGATATCTAGGCGCCACAGAGGAGGATTCCATAGTCCCCGAACGCGGGCAGCCCCTTCGGACATTGTATCAACAGACGAATGCAGATCAAATTCCGTTGTGCAGAAGAGTTCGCTGGTCAATGGACGCTGCAGAAGGAACGTGATATATGCATCAGAATGGGATAGTTTATGCTGACCTTGGTTGTAACAACATGATCTTAGTCAGAGATTGTTTAAAAATCATCGATTTCGAAGGTTGCAGCATTGACGGCGAAGAAGCTACATCGTGTTATGAGTGATTCAGTTACCGACGACCAATATCGCCAATCAGTCAGAAGACCGACATTTTCGCGTACGGCTGCTTGTTATACGAAATCATGACAGGCAAAAAACCCCGTACCATGAACTTGAAACACTGGACGATCGAAGACGCCTCGTCGAACAACGATATACGAATGGCCAATTCCCGCAAGTCGATCATCTGCCGTTTGGCGCGATAATGCAGGGTTGCTGGTGTGGAAATTTCTCTTCCATGCCTGAGGTGCTTCAGGCACTCGAAGCGGCCAGCTCAAGATTTGATGGCCAAGCCGATGACAAGTGGGAACCCCTTGGACGACTGGGCTCGCTAGTAAAACCTCTCCGTGTCTACTGGAGAAGAATCTGGTCATGCTGGCGATCAAGGATCTTGGACATCTTGTTCGAGCTATTGGAAATAAAAGTGTCACATACACTCTTGAGGGGGCCTAGTGTATGGGTTCAACCCGAGAGCAAGATAAAGGGGTCTGGACAAGGGCCCTGAAGTGGCAGAAGGGGTTTTGCGAAAGGAAATAAATCGAGCGGGGAACTCGAAACGGCGACCTGTTCTGCAAAACCCCAAGACTGAGGACATCAACAGCAGACTGGTCGCTGCCACAAACAAGCGGCGCAGCTGAGGCAGCTCTCTTGACAATGCCCAGTGGTCTCTTCAACCAGACTCAATCGCCCAGTACTACCCGGTATCAATGATAAGCACGCGGGAGAGGTTCAGATGTCGTCAAGGACAGAGAGGGGTCCACGCCGCAGAGATTCTCAGTGGGGGAACTCTTGCTCAAAGAGGCGTACACAGCAAGTACTTTAAGAGCCTCGAGAGTCAGGTAGCCACATGGTTGTCTTTACATTTGCCAGGGGTGGACAGATAGGTATATCGAAACAGACCGATCCCTAGCTGCGCCTTAGCGCCACGAATTCAAAGCCAGCGAATGAGGTACCATCCATGACAGGAATACGCATAGCAGGGGAGTATGATAGCATAGGAGTGCGGAGAAGAAGCGTATTAGGAAAGCAAGAGAAAGAGATTGAGAGGCGTGGAAGTGAAGTCCGGATCTTCCCAGTTTGGGGTCCTTTCGGCTACAAGAGGGCTAGCAGCTGTACGAAGGCTGTGTACCCCTTCATGGCCGCGACCTGGTGACTGCATCCCTAGGGCGATGGGCTCTGTATCTTCCGTGCATCTCCTGACGCAAGAATTTCTTTGTCTGTTCTATGACCATCGCAAGGCTGACCAACCAGTGGGTCGACTGTACCACACGTCAATGCAAGGTACCGGCGGCGGAGAAGGGAGCAAGGTCAACGTCTGGATGGCCAGACCAGCGACTTTCTTGATGGCTGTTAATTCCTCGGATGGAAGTTTCTGATTTGGCCGACAATTCGCAGCTGTGTTTGCGATCCAGGCTTACTCCCAATCGAACAACGTGGCTCGAGGCATCTGGAGAATGGTCTGCAGGTATTGCGATCCCGGCCTCGCCCCTCTGGAAAGAGTCTCCTACCTCAACTAATGTCTGTCTTTATCTCAATGCTAACAATTGTCGATCTACGCTTTCAGCCATTTACCGTAATATGCTAGGAGCTCGGCTTGCAGTTGACCTAGCCGTGCGGGCACGCGCAACATCGATGAACTGAGCTTCAGAGTTCTGGTCTTTCAGGGGACTTGAGCCTCGCCTCTGCGCCATTCCGAACCCTCAAGGACGAACTCCTACACCGCTCATCTGGCTTGCCAGCCAAATTCACTACCGTGGGTACTTTGATTCGTCAAGAGGAACGGTCATGGGGAGACCGCCTCGTCTACCACATGGCCTAGACTGGCTGCCTGCCTCAGCTATTGCATGTGTCCAAGGGCATGCTCACCCGCTTCTTTTCTTTGTATCTCAGAGTGGAACTGAAACGGGATACAACCATGACAAGGCGATTTGTGCAGGTTATAAGATTCCAAGCTTTGTTGTGGCGTCTTTTCCAGGCTGTTGTTTGCCATTTGCTGTACCATCAAGCAGGATCTTTGTGCCAGCAGATATATCAAACCATCCTTGCAAGTGTCAATCTTTCCACCACCTCGTATCTCTTTTCCATTCACGGTGAATACTTATCTCGGCATGGCTGCGATACATTCTCTTCTCAACCCGGTCAATGACGGAGAAAACTACGACAGTACCAACGACAGCCGGGACGAGGTGTCTGCCCACGACAGCCAAGCCTCAGTAGCATCTGACACGGTTGAAAATGGACCAGACAAACGCGTTCGAAAGAAGCAGAAGATGTGCAAAGACGCTGCAGTCTTCAAGCCGGGGGTCATCAAGGGGGAATGTCGATACCCACCCGACGAGTATCAAGACGAGCTGCTTGAGGCCAAACATCAGATGTACGAAGTCTACCCGATGGGTGACATAGCAACATACCCACGACACATCCCCTACAACAGTGAGAAGAAGTTGTTTTGGGACAAGACAGGCCGGGAGAGCTTTGAAGGTACTTTCCCAGGGGCACTTGATACAGATTGTCCATCTAACCTTGTCTAGTATTCCAATATCAGTTCAAGATACCAGGAGAGTCAAATACATACACAATGCTGTGGGACTACAACATTGGCCTAGTCCGTACCACGCCATTGTTCAAGTGCGGCAACTATTCGAAGGTATGCAGTGGACCAAGTGATGTACGTCTGAGCTGACGGAATGCCTGCAGACAACACCCGCGAGGATGCTGAGCAGGAATCCCGGATTGAAAGAACTCTGCCACAGTATCACTGGAGGAGCTCTTGTTGCACAAGGTAGGCACCATCTGTACGATTTGCGGCTGAGATTGAGGTTGACATGATGTCTAGGCTACTGGATTCCCTTCGATGCGGCCAAGGCAATGGCTGCCACCTTTTGCTGGAACATTCGCTACGCACTGACGCCGGTGTTTGGAAAGGACTTCCCCAAGATCTGTCTGTCTCCCGACGCAGAGAACTTTGGGTCCATGCAGATCGATCCAGAGATTACCAAACGCTGTGCTCTGCAAGTTCGACAATACCGTGAACTTGAGAGCCTGATCACAACGGGGCCATCGTCGGGCACATCCAGGCCTCAGACACCGCAGACGCCTCAAGTTCGTCCTCAACTCAGAATGATCTTGCCCAAGCCATATAAAGAGGCTGATACCACGAGTGAATACTCGACGGACACGAGTCGTGAGGACAAGTATGAATTGTCTTCTCCCTCGCCGCAAATTGCCTTTACCAACCCTTGGTCTGCGGTCAACACTCCGCGTTCTCCTTCGCCCAAAATCTCTTTCAATAATCCATGGTCGCCGTCCAGCACTACTCGGTCGTCTTCGCCGTACGGGACATCTCGCAAAGGTCGGCTGGCTGCCAATATCCCTCGATCGCATCCCCCTCTTGACCTGTTGCCACCCCCTCGGAGGCCGTTGTTCTCCAACAATATACCAAGTGGTGTCGGGGCAGAAGATTCGGCTCTCGATATGTCACCCAGATCGGCTGTGCAAGCCATGGAGGTTGATGAAGACTATGATGGAGGCTCAGATGACTCTGATGATGCAAAGGAGAAGAATACTGTGATGGCAAGGAAGAAGTCCTCAAGGGGATTTACCGATACCAAGGCTGCCTATGTGTTGATGAAGCTGAAGACGCAGGGAGAGGTCTTCCAGGCGAAAGAGAAGTGCTTGAAGCGTCGAGCTTCCGCATAAGGGCTTGGTGTTTGTCAGATGAAGAGACCGTAATCTGTTGCTGAGATGATTGATGGCTTGGAGGGAAATTCTTCTGCTACTTAGATTTGCATCAACACACTTTTTCTTCGTCTTGCTGATGTGATTTTAGTGGGTGCCTTCCATTGCTGCTGGCTGCCCCAGGTCTGAGTCAATCACATTCTCTTCACTTTATCTTTTCGCTTCTTACGCCCTCTTTTCACTCGCTACATCCACTAGTTGATTGTCTTTATCTCTACCACAGCTCTTCAGCGTTGTCCTGCAAAGGAGAGCTGGGTCTCTCTACAGGCTTGTGCTTGTACTTTTCTCACTCACTCATCGATCTGTAGCACCACCTCCAGAACCCACCACCCACATTCACGATGTCCGCTGCAAATTCACGAAACAAACTCTACACTTGCCGATACTGGGCTCTCGGGCCTCGGTGCCCAAATGTCGATGCATTTGGTGCGGTCGTCTGCGAGTTCGCTCACTGGGACACTGGTCGGTTGGCCAGCTCAGTTCAGCAAAGAGGGACTTGCCTACCGTGGAAGCATTTTGGATTCTGTGGGCGAGGAGGAGGCTGTTGGTATGAGCATCAAGAGACAGGGGTTACGGGTCTTTATCAAGGCAGTATGGCTACTACGAGGGGAAAATAAAATAGGGCTAACAGTATGCAGCTGTCGAACTGGCGGGCTTCGAGCTCCAAGTTGCAGATGCTGCCACCAAGGCTGGGTTCAACACTTTCAATCATGAAGCCCTGTTCAATCTCATCTGGGCTGTCAAGAGACTGGCCTTGCAGGCGGGAACTTTCCATTCTAGCCGGAGTCGTCCACTCAACGATCCCATATACCCTGATAGGTATCGTCCTAGGGATGTAGATGGCAACGCAAAGGGAAAAAGAAGTGCAGTTACCATACAAACCTCGGCCAACCATACCGTCGAGTTGAAATTCCACCCTGTCCAGCCTCTGATGAGAAAGAGGCCTTTGCAGGACTTGAAGGAAGAAAACGTGATCGACTTGACCTTTTCAGATGATGAACTCGAGGGCGCAGACTCGCACAACACCACATTCAAGCGTCAGAAGATAGTCAACAGGAGCAATTTTCGCCTTGGATTCCCCACCGCCATTCATCGGAAAATGATGCCTTTCACTTCTGTCGGAATGTCCTCGAAGCCACCCTCTAAATCTGCCCGCAGACGTGCAAACAACCTGGCCCGGGACTCTGCAGCCGCTTCTTTCCCAATCTTGCCAAAGGCGGTTCTCCCGGCTGAAGACGAGATTTGCAAGCAACTCCTTTTAGTCAAGGCCAAGCTCGATGATGCCAGGCGGAGCATGAATGCATGCCAAGGAACGATGAAGGCATTATTTGACGTGCATTATGAGAGATTTGATGAGGATAGGATGATGGACGCTCTTCAGAAGCTGAGCGGCTATATGAATAAGGTCTATGATGGTAGCAAAGATGGTGCAGAAGAGGCAGAGAAGGCTATTGGATTGCTCAGGGACGTGAAGGATAACACTCTGTGAATGAGACAACTTGTGGGACATCTGAAAGCAACAATGGGTGACAGGCGTATGGGTTTTCTACCTGCGAAATGGGAACTGCAAGAGCAGAAAGGGTTCAGGACGAATTCGCCGCGAGGGGAACTCGTTGCGTGCGGGTGTGTAGGTGTAGTGTAGGTGTTTAAGATCTGTTTTGCGGCAGATGGTTGTAGCTGTGAACAAAGACTTGACATGGTGATTAATAGCAGAGAGATTCTTCATACGAGGCTGGCATTATGAAGCATTAGGAGGCATATGCGGGGCCAATTCTCGGCGTTGAGGCTGCGCAGTTCATGGCTATTGCTGGTGTTTGAGATCTTGACACCACCATCTACCCTCGCAATCCCCAGTCTCATGATGCCAGCCGACTGACTCCAGCCATATCGACCTCATTGAGATGAGAAACTCTGTCGCACTTCTCGACTGCTCCCGTACGACGGCTCCAGTGCGACAGCCAATGAATCAAGGGGTGATTGAAGAGTGGCGAATTACTCCCATTGGGCGTGCGCAGGGCTAGATACCGTCACACTTGCAATCACCGCTGGGCTCGTTGCGAATTACGACCCGGGCCACCGCACTATACCGTACTTTGCATGGGAGAACATCATGCGGAGCGACTCAATCATAAGAGGCTCTACGACACTGTCCCTTGAACGAGCGGAAAGTCTCGTGTCAAGATGGCCTGTGTTAACACCACCAGGCGGGAGGAGGGTGGCAAGCGCTGTAAGTGGCCTCGAAAGTCCAGAGCACTGGAGAGTGAAGAAATTCATGTGGTACCGTGACGGCAATGAGGGAACATATGCATTCTGCCGTACCGTGGTAAACATGGAGATCAGATCAAGTTTGTCGACAATCGGGACTTCACATCTGCGATATTCACCCACCGCGCAAAATCTTAACGTTCGTCGGATCGCTTTGGTCACCTGGACGATATTACCCTTTTCACGCGCTGCAACGAGGACAAGTCATACCGACGAGATTCTCTTTCATTGCCTGAATCAATGACCACGACTATGTCCAGCCGCAAGCACGTTGTCCTGTCGCAAGCACACTCTTTCCAGTAGTGACACCGTCACCATCAGAGTCAGCGCAGCTTCATCGATTTCATCCTCTGAGAGTCGACGACAGTGATCACCCATCGACGTTCCGACAATGGCCACTCAACAGAACGACAACAGTGGACAAACTAGTCTGGCGATTTCCCCTTCCCTCATCGTCGGCATAGTCATTCTCGCCTCGTTCGCGTGCACCATCATTTTCGCCAGTATTTTTCGCTACTGCCGTCGCGGTCAGTCCGCTTTGATCGATCCTGAGTCCATGAACGAAACAGACGGGACCGATTACTACAATCCCAACAAACAACGATCGGCAGCGCAGGTCGCGAGGTTGAGAGAGGTCCGATGGATCAATAATATGTACGCGTGGGAAAGAGGCCGGCAGGCACGGATGGCTATTGGAGAGATCAGACCGACCACCATGCTGATGGGACGGAAAGGAGAGAACAAGAACTGGGATGAATATACCATCGCAGGAGACAACTCGTGGCAGAACGTGAGTTTCGTCGGAAATTCTCTTGCCCCGTCATTTGAGAAGGTGCCAGACACATCATACTGACATCAAGGTGATGTTAGGATATGGGCACTGGCAACGCTAAGGGTGGATGCTCCCATGCTCCGTATTTCTACAATGTCGAGGATCCCTACGCACGGTCTAACTCGCAGCAACGTCTCAGTCACCTCGCCCCTCCAACAGACCAATTCCGAAACTCTTACCAGTCCACTTGCAGCGGCAATGGATATCTTCCTCGTTACCCGTCTGCACTCCTCCCACCTCCTGTTAATGGTCGACGTGATGCACTGCTTCCTGGAACAGTGGCCCAGAAAAGCCCCCTGAGGAACGAGTATCAATTCGAAGGCCACGATCAAGGTCCAAGCGCGACGATTAGCCCCAGACCACCTTTCATGCACAATATGGCAGAAGATGTTGCTATGCATCACTTTGACGGTCGTCAAAGTCCCTTTGTCAATCCCAAAATCACAGTCAGCGATGAAGGCCAGGCTACTGCATACATGCGATCTCCACCGACGCTAGCATACGATCACAATTTCGAGACTGTCGCGCTCGATGGCAACGCTGAGATTGCTACGCACAACTGGACCGCAGACACGAATCAACGCAGTAATTTGAGCCCAAGCCCAGAGGTTAGAGATCATAGGCCCTCGGTGATTGTAACAAACGACGAGCCGTATCCCCAACTCCAACTGCAGTTCTTGCCACAGTCTCTCTCCCAGCAATCAGTCAGTGTGTACGATGACGGAGAGGTTGGAAAATGCAATGGATCGAGTGAGAGTCTGGTGATGCATTCTTTGGGAAGGGAAAGCCAACAGAACAATGAACGATTCGAGGAGAATGAGAGGAACGCAAACGGCCACAACGAGATCCGGCGAGAAAATGTCAAAGACATGATTCAGGAGTGGGAGAGGGCGAATGGAAGCTTTGGCAGGAGTCACTGACTGCCACCGCATAGTACATCGGGCAGTCGAAATGTTCTGCTGATAGGTGGGGAGTGTCCACTAAGAAGTCGATCAAAAATTCAAGACACAAACCCAGTTGGGATCAGGATGGATGTGCGACAAGTTGAGCTACACACTGAAGGTGCCTTGGGATAACAGCGACAAGCCTTTCTGGCTGGAAAAAGTATTTGCTGTGCTCGGTGGAACAAGATGCAGAATAAGGCTGTGGCCCCTGAAATACAAGAACTCGCAACATCGTCTCCGGTTTCTTCGCCTTCCGCTAATAAGGCTTGCTTGACTGATCTCACTGGGCCTGGGAATCGTGTCTTTTGCAGCCTCCATTCGGTGTCGTGTTCATTTCTCTGTCCGCTGGTCGAACCAAACTACGTCCAAAACCCTCGTTTTGAAGACCCTGTGGATTTGCCCTTGAGGTGTTTCTGGTTGAGGACCTTTCAACTCCACCTCGTAGTCTCTGTCGCGAGGACTTGAACATCCATCCTACTGTGAGCAGCCTGTAAGGTATAAGAAGGTTCAGTTTCTCTCGCGACGACCTTGGCGTCCTTCATCTATGTAGGATGGTATCCTACGTTGCTTCCCACAAATATTCGATCTACGAGGCGCTCAGACTTCCTCACATCCTTTCTCTGATAAATACGGTACCTTCTCCAAGTACTCTCCTCCACCGCATCTCAAGATGCGCTTCTCTTTTCACGTCGTCGCCCTTGGCCTTGTCACCTTGCTGTCGTTGGTCAGGGCGGCTCCCTTCAGTGCCGTGTCCGTGGTACAGGCCATTGGTCGATTCACGACCATCACGACCTCGGTCTTCGCCGAGCCGACAAGCGTGTCGAGCTCGACGGTGGGGTGTGTGGCGGACACTGGTACTCGTCATGCAGAGCCAACGACAACGCTGGTCGCAAGGGGGGAGAGCGCCACACATACGCCCAGCCCTGTGTTGGATAAGGACTCCAGCCCTCATCCGCTTGGGCGTCCGGACCTGGTCGTTCCCACATTGGTAACGGCGACGTCCACGGCGCATGCGGTGGACGTGGCTCCGACTTCCTACAGCTGGTGCAGCCGGTGCGGTCTTGGCCCTGTGATGATGAGTGCTGCGGTGCCAACTACTTTGGCAACAACCTCGGTGTCGGCACAGGAAACCTACACGAACGCACTTGGCGAGGACTATGTCGACGACGTCTTCCCGAGCCACAGTACCAACCACAGTAAGTCAAGTCGAACTATCGGCCAGATCAGGAAGGCTCACTCGTGGCAGCATTCGCCATCAGAGACGTCGCCGCACGGATGTCGTATTCAAAAGGACCGCCAGACGAGGGCGTCCGACGGTGTCCACACGGTCAACACGCGGTGCTGAAGCCAGGCCAGGGCGAGTTCAAGTCCAACGGTTGCGGGATCGGCCTCTTTGCAGATCCTCCTCCTGGAAGTGGAAAGTTTGGACAGTGCTGCATCGAGCATGGCAAGTGTGTTGGTAAGTATTTCCCCCAAATCTCCAAGACTGCCTTTTGTCCCTCAGACTGCTGATTGGTGTTTTCCCTCTGCGTTCCTCTCCCTGTAGCCGAATGTCCCACCGATGAACTCCGTACATGCAATGATGCACTTCTAAAGTGCATGAACGATGTGTGCGACCACCAAGGTGGCGTCTTTGGGTGGCTGTTGAAGGGGTGGTGTACGGTTCAGAGGGATGTCTACGATGGGTCGGTTCGGGGTCCGGGGTCGAGGGACCATTTCATGGAGGTGTCACAGGACAGGTGCAGATGTGTTGACGACGGTACTTAGGTATCTGGGTAGTTGAGTGTTGAAAGAGTGAGTGGAAGTAGGTAGGATTGAATGCGTGTGGCGTTGAATTACATATTGTACCAAAGTCTCTCGTGGAGAAGATCATCAGTCTTCCCCGGGAATCGTCCGCATGCTCTACATATTTCCCCGCCCCGGCTCACCACAATTTCCAATTACTGAACTTATCCGGGCATGCCACCTTACGAGTGAGACACATACCTTGGACCTCGACCGGATATCTACGTCTGTTCCTCTCGACTCTTGCAATCACTCCAGTCGACCAGCCTGCTGAGAACACAGGTGGCCCAAACATCCGCGCTTTGCTGCGCCCGCGGGATTCTTCCTCATGTCAGGCCACGTCCCAACGCTACCCCGGGCTGCCTGCGGCTCCTGTCACGCGCGGAAGATAAAATGCGATCGCCGTCCCGGGGCCTGCAGCGCCTGCTTAAAGATCCAAATCCCCTGCCGATATCCCCCGACTGAGCAGCTCATGAGACGTCGCATGCCGAGGGGGCCCTACAAGAAGAGGAAATCACGGCGGGGGAGAGAATCGGAAGATCTGGTCAAGACGATGACAGAGGGATGCACAGATTTGGGAGGAGACGCTGTCGCCAGTGCTGGCCCGAGCTCTCCGACTTGTCCTGCGGCCTCGCCAGGCTGGGGATTATCTGCGGATGCGCAGGAACGTCGATATGAAGACCAGGGAACGTCGAGTCAGAGTTCTCGGATCGCGCCCACATGCTCTGGGTTCGCTGACAAGACGCCTGAAATCTCTGGTCATCTGAGCGAAAGAGGTAGCAGCTTTTCAGCTTTAAACTTCGCGACTAACGTTGATCTATCGGCAGGGGCTTCTATACCCTCGGATCTGCTCCCCGCAGAGCCACTGAACTCTTGGTCGCTCTGGTCTCAAGTTCTCGAGCTGTGGGCCGTCTACAGAAGCCACATTGACCCCGTCGTTAAGCTAATCCATTGTCCGTCCTTTTCAGAACACATTCTCCGTGCAGCATCCGACTCTTCGGCGGCCGATTGTAGCCTGCGGGCGCTTGTTTTCAGCATTTGCTATGCTGTGGTCGATGTTCTTTCCCCGGGCGAGGTCGAGACTCGATTCCGGCAGAAAAAGGCCATTCTCGCGTCTCTGTACATGCAAAGGATGCATCAAGCCTTGGAACAGGCGGCATCCCTCCACAGGTCCTCTTTATATGTCCTGCAAGCCCTTGTTCTTCACACAGTAAGTCTGCAAGCTTGGTGAACTTATTCAGCTCAAAAGTCTGTGTTTAGATCTGCCTTTTGCGGAGGTCTGGGGACGATGTGCGAGTGGGCACGGCTCTGCTTGATCGGGCCGTCTCAGAAGCGCGCCTCTTGCTCCCAGAGAGTGGTGACAGCCGCCGCGACGACCTATCTCTTCTTGACATGCAGCTCTGGCGTCGCTGTTGGTGGACGCTATACGTTCTCGATTACCACAGGGCCCTAAAACACGGCCATGCTCCAAGTACCATCTTCCGCTCACAGCAGGTTGCGCTACCGTTAAACCTGAACGACATCGACCTAAACCCCACCATGCGACAGCTTCCGGTCCCCAGGAAATCAGTCACTGAGATGTCCTATTTGCATCTTGTCGTTGAATTGACTAGGCTTGACGCTACATTGCGATATTTCAAGACCGGTGAGCCGGGATCCAACCATCACCAAACCCTCGGATCCACTATCAACGAACAGGTGCGAGAGGTGGAAGTTAATATCATATGGCATTGCGAGACTTCTCGCCCGTTTGACTGGCTCATGTTATTAACTGCGAAAGCAATGCTGGTATGAGTGGATCTGCAAAACCTGGCCTTTATATACGTTCTAATGCCAATGTCCAGAATCCGATCGAGATTAAGCTGCTTGAGTTGGGACAAGAGACTTATACGATCGACAAGTCCCTAAGCTGTGCCGCCCGGGCCGATCTCTCGGAGAGGACCTTCTCACTCGGCCTTGACGTGGTGGAGTGCTGGTACATTTTGAAAACTAACCCAGATCTGACATCGTGGAGTTGGTACACTGACACTTTCGGCCGCGAATACGACGCGGGTTACATCAAATCAGAACTGGCTCGTCGACCAGAGTCAGAGCAACGGGCACGCGCCCAGATACTGCTCGAGCTAGAGTGCAACAGGAAAAGCTACGCATGAAGGGACCTAGCAGGATTGGGTTGCGTTACTCAAGGACGAGAATGATGTCCGCATGGTGATGCGCACGAGTGGTCAGCGCTCATGGATTGAATAAGACGAGCTATCAACGCTGCGGATTGCCCAGCATTTGGAAGAGCCAGAGAGATTTATAACACCCTCGTCACGTCTCACGTTTCGTGCCGTTCCCACCGCGTCTGTCTTGGCATTTCTGTATCTGTGCGGACTCTACACTAGAAACACGGCTCCGGCTCAGCGATCGCTCCGAGAATATTTGAGATCTGACTGCCGTCTCTGAATCCTCGGCCTCGATACAGCTAGGCTCCGCCATACCCCGGACCTTCTGGAATTCGGCACCGAATTTCCATGGGTTGGGACTAGACTAGACCCGATTCAATCCGATTCAGTATCGACTCGAGTCGACAACCCATGATCATCCAACAAAGTATCGATGTGTGATGTCGTAGTCTTGGATGGTGGACATACAAAGAAACAGTGCACCGTCAGTGGTATTTGCCGCGAACGTGAGCCGGACATATTCATTAGGGAGACCAGCTAGCTGATTCAAGAAGAGCAAAGGATCGATTTCATAGCTACCCGTACCCGTACCCGTACTCGTAACAATACAAGCAACAGGTGACAGGTGACTGGCGGACAAGACTGATGATTTCCTGCTGGGGAGTTTCTCCACTTTTCATAGTAATCCGTGGGCCAAATGAGGATACAGTGGAAGAGATGTCAACTAACCTAACCCATTATGGATTGTTCTCACCACACACACACACACACCACACATCAAAGACCCCGCTTTTCGTCCGCCATCATGTCTCGTCCCAACTCCCAGCGGCCTCTAGGGAGATTCCAGGGTCGCGTGGAAGGGGATTTGTTATTACCCCTACTCAGTCTCTGACCGAGAGATTCACGTGCAGAATGTGTAGCTAGCTTGCTACCTTGCTACCTAGCAGGTCAGAGGGGTCCACCAGGGTATAAGACGATCCTACCACCTCGGACGTCCCTAATACAAATACTACGAGAGAGAGAGAGAGAGAGAGAGAGAGAGAGAGAGGAAATCCGAAATCAAATCACGCGATGAAACATGACCATTCTGGGAAAAGACTCCAAGATCCTCATTGCGGGCGCCGGACCCTCGGGTCTCGGGCTGGCACAGATGCTTCGCAAAGAAGGCATCAACTTTGAGATTTTCGAGCGCGATGTGTCCCGGCCTCAGGGCTGGTCCGTGGGGCTTGATAAGTTGGTTATACCAGTTCTTTCTTTCTTTCTTTTTTTTTTTTCCCCGGTTTGCGGGTGAGTGAGGTCTGATGGAATCTGATGCCCGTGAATATGAAACAGGTGTCTGGACGAGCTGGAGCGACTCCTCCCTGGGGACATTGCCGGGTTCGGCACGCTGAGTCCGAACTACGCGCTCAAGAGGCTCGACTCGTTCGCCGTCATGGACGGGACCACGCACCAGGTCGTCGGGGTGACGGGGTCAAAAAGCCTCGAGGAGCACGGCAGCAGGATGTTCTTCTGTCCGCGCGAGAAGATCCGGAATCTCTTGACACCGCACACGAACCTCCAGACGGGGAAGCACGTCACCGGCTACAGCGACGACGCGGACGGCGTGACGTTGCACTTTAAAGACGGCACCACCGCCCGAGGCGCGCTGCTGGTCGCCGCCGACGGGGCCCGGTCCACGGTGCGAAGACAGCTGCTGGAGCGCAGCCCGCTGATCCCGACCAACTTTGTCGTGATCCACGGCGTCGTCCGGCTCGGCCAGGACCAGTGGCGGCCCATCCTCGAACACTCGTCGTGTGGCATCCTCCTCGGGACCGACACGTGCAAGTTCTACTTTCTGCTCATCGAGCACTGCGACGGCGACGGCGATGGCAATGGCGATGCCCTGTTCAACTGGAACGTGTCGTACCGCAGCGACGACGTTGCAGCCGACGACAGCTGGGCGTCCTCGGCCAGCGCGGAACAGCTCCTCCAGAAGGCGCTGGCGGTGATCAAGGACTTTCCACCCTTTCTGGTCGACGGGATCCGACGCACGCCGCTCGAGGGTATCCAACGCCCGCCGATCAAGTTGGTCGAGACGGTTCTCCCGGATCAACTCCTGCCTCGCGGCAACGTCACGTTGATGGGCGACGCTGCGCATTCAATGGTATATCAATCTTTCCACCCTCACCCTTGGCCACACTGTTTAGTTTCTTGAACCACCACACACACACACTCGTACACACATCCCTAGACACACACAGGACGCCCCTCTTGCTCCTCTTCCCATTCCCCTCTTTCACTACGCTTTCACAGGCACTACTTCTTCCCCTTCCCTTTTTCTTTTCTTAGTCTGTCTGCTGAAAAAGACCTCACCCAGCTCCCCTTCCGCGGCATGGGCGCCAACACGGCCCTCCTCGACGCATGCGACCTGGCCAGGGCCATCATCCACGGCGTCCGCACTGCGAGCTCAGTCGACTCGGTCCTCCAAGCGTATGAGAGGGTTATGGTCCCGCGGGGACGGGAGCATGTTTTGGCATCGCATGCAGTGGGGGAGGGGGCGGTGGCGAGTGAGTTGGCGGGGGGTCGTCTCGAAGAGGGTTCGTCATAGGAGATTCGAGAGACTCGAGAGAGATTATCAGGAAGAACGAGGGAGGGAGGGAGAGAAAATACGGATGATGTATTTTCCATAATAAACACTGTAGATGTTTTCAAGGTTTTGGTCTTTAATGAGATATCCGAGAACCTGGAACTCGACCTCTTCTCTCATTTTCCTCTCAACATGGATCCCAAGTTCTAATAACCCGGTTACACACTCCCTCAACTTGGAAGTGGCAGGATCACTTTGCATGCGTGATGCCGTGTCTCAAAGTCCCAATCCCACCAAAGTATATCTCGACCGTGTCCCCCTCCTTCAGGAACCGGGGCGGTTTCATCGAAAACCCCACCCCGCCAGGCGTGCCGGTGAGGACGATGCTCCCCGCGTGGAGGGTCGACCCGCGGCTGAGGAACTCGACCAGGGCGGGGATCTTGAAGTGCAGCTCCGCCGTGTTGCTCTGCTGGCGCAGCTCGCCGTTGACTTTTGTGTGGAGGGCGAGGGCGTGGGGGTCCTTGAGGACCTGGGTCAAGGGGTGGTCAGTTTGTTGGTTCCAGGTCGCCTTTTTGTCAGGCAGAAGAAGGCAGAGGAGATAGTGAGTGGGGGGGGGGGGGCATTGCACTTACGTCTGCAGACACAATGCAAGGTCCGACAGGGCAGAAGCCGTCGAAGCTCTTCCCGTACGTCATTTGAGGGGGTGGGAATGTGCCTACGAGGTTTGGATCCATGGCCCATTTCCTATAGAGAGATCGAGAACATGTCAGATCCAGACTCACTTGACTTCGGGTTGGTGGGGACACACGACGGCGTCACAAGGGGACGACAAGGGGGCAACGAACCTCGCAGAGACATCATTCGCACACGTATAGCCCAGGATATAGTCCATGGCGTCCGCCTGCGAGACGTTCTTCGCGTCTTTGGCAATCACAATCGCCAGCTCGCCCTCGTAATCGGCCTGGTCGTCTTGGATGAAGGTCGCGAGCTCGACGTCGTCCCCGTACCCGGCCAGCGCGTTGGACGTCTTTGAGAACATGGCCGGATACTTGAGGGGTTCGACTCCGATTTCGCGCACTTGTGTCACCCCAAATCAGTATGAGATCTGTCTTTGTATCAGGGGTCGGGCCTTGTGAGCCAACAGTGGCCCTAGGGAAGGATTGTCTTCTTCGTACGGTGACTGACGTAGTTCCCTCCAATGCATCGAATGCTGGGAACCATTTTGTACGTCAAGGGACCCAGCAGCTTTTTCACGCCGAGCACGCGGTCCGTGACCTGGCAGGTCGGAAGCAATGGGTCGCCCGTGACGACCCTCGCGGTCAAGGACGCATGGTTTGCCGGATCGCCAATGTCGAAATCCGCGGTCGGCACGATCGCGTCGCCAAAGTAGATCTGGTCGTCGCCGTCCTCGGCGCCGATGAATCGTATCAGTCTTGTCCAGGGGACCTTCGAGGGTGCTGCCATGGCTGAGTTCCAAGTATCGCCATGGTGGAAGACATGGGTAAAGGGGAGGAAAATGTCTCGTATTTGTGTCAGGAGAGCGCCTCCACCTTTGCGCTTACGCGGGATCTTTCCACATTTGCCGCAGAGTAAGAAGCATCAGTGCACATAGCATATAGCCTCCCTCTGGCACGGGTTCCGGGACATGGTTCCCATACCCCAGAAGATCCCGACACGGCAAGTTTAGCATGAATCCTCCATGCGCCATGTGCGATCCTTGCTGTGTTCCTGAAGGGGAATGGTTCTGCTTAGTTAGAGAGTTCGCTCAACCAAGGTGCCAATCGCCAGAGCATGCTGGCAGCGTGGCCGACAAGGAGACAGTCAGAAAGATCATATGTCTTCAGGAGAGACCTCCAGTCTACAGCGGTTTCCCATGTTCTTCTGGTTTTGGTGACGCAGACCTCGTCGCTAGACTCGCTACGTCTTTGTGATCCACACCTGGATTTCGGCCCCGAATTCTGCGTCCAGACGTAGGGAGGAGGACGAAGTCAATCCCCTGCACATAGCCTAGTGTAGACTTCTAGAACGTTAGCTTGGTCACTGGCCTGACCATATCTAGTGCGAGAAAGTGAATGCCCGGATGGTTTTGGTCTCTATCGTGCTCGGTGTTGACGTCGGACGATGCTGAGTGTCCACATAACCCGGAACACAAAGTATCCCCCGGCGGATCGGGACTAGAGTCGACCCGAGTAGACAAGGCAAGGGAAGGAAGACCAAGATTGGGAAAGTGTTGTTACAGCAGTCTGCAAGACTTCTGGCAATCTTCGTGTTGTAACATGATAATGTGACAATGTCAAATGTGAAATGCAACGATCCTCATTCAATAGACCGAGTTCTGGTCTGCGTGGCATACAACTAAGCGTGGCACGAGCACCCCATACTGATTCACCACATCAAGGCCTTGCACCTACCATTCTGGGAAATGCACGAGGCCCAATCTCGATACGCCGCTTGATCGACGCGTGATCCTCTCCCGATTCCACCCGCCTCTTCAGGTCCTCAGGGTCAAAGTCCGTTCCCACAGGGTTCTCCATGAAATTGACCGATGAGATGAACCGATGCTGCTCCTCAAGATCGTCAAAGTTGTCCACTTGAGACTCCAGCTTGTTCCCGTCGGGATCCACGTAGTACATGCTTGTAGTCGGGCCGTGGTTCACACACCACACGGGTTCGATGCCCAAGACCTTGCGCTGCTCCCACACCTTGACGAGGTCGCTCAGATCGTGGAACGTGAACGCGATGTGCTCGAGGCCGGGTGCAGAAGGTTCGCCACCTGACATGCCGTCGAAAGTGATGATCCCTAGCCGGTGATGTTCTTCATCATACTTCAGAAAGCAGGCGCGGTCATTTTCGAACTCGACCTGGGCGCCGAGGAACTTTTTGTAGAAGTCGACCATTTCCGTGAGGCGCGTAGTTCGGAGGACAACGTGGGCAAGTTTCCACGGGCTCATCACGTCATACTGTTTCGTAGCCATTGTGCTCAACTCGAATCTCGGAGAGGACGTTATGTTCAAAGTCCGATTTCAAAGAACGAGTGGTTGTTTGTGGGACTGCGAATCTGCAGCAGAGGAGACGATGGGTACACTGAGACTGGGGAGAGCAGGGTTTTTAGATTTTGTCTCAGCGGATTCCTCTTTGCGGCTTTTAGAAGCCCTTTCGAGGGCATTCGAAGCTCAAGGCGCGAGGTCCCCTGATCCTTCTGGATGGTGGCATTGATTGCGTGCTCTGAACTGTCAGAGTCTTCGTATCTCGATTACGCGACTCACTGATATTCGGAACCGAAATTTCGAGTCTAGAAAATCTAGTATGCGCCATACCAAAGTATAGTGGCGGTCAAGCCCAAATGGAAATATACAAGTTTGGAGGAAATGACGGGGGAATAATGCATGCTCTTTAGCATTCGGCACCGAATGTTATTTAGACCGACTGACATGTAGTCATTTGATCAATACCGGCGCCTTTCATGGCTTCGCTTGTGTCCGCGGTTGGAACGGAGTTGTTGTCCCGAGTACTTTGGACGCGGATGTTGTAGCAAGGCAATGAGCATAGGAATCCTGACCGCCCTTACCGCAAATGGACTAGAGGCTACAAGAGTCTTGGCAATCACCCAGCCTCGGTTTCTCTCGTGGGCCTCAGACTTGGCGAATCTTGGCGAATCTTGGTTGCGGCGTGGCACTGCGTCATAAGGGTCTTGCTCCTCATTCCCCACAACGACTTTTTGGCGAAATATGACGTGCGACAAACGTTCAGATTCCGTGTGTCTCGAAGGAAGTTCAGCCTTGGGTGGTGACTACCTAGGCACCTAGGGACGGATGTCAGCAATGGTACAGTACAATAGAACGGTCGATTCAACTGGCAACATCCTTTGAAGCCAAGTTTCGACTACGGGACAGAAGAGGTTAGCAAGGAGCAATATATGTCAAAAGACCACTTCAGGTCAAACATCAATAGCTGTGTTCTTTTCATCCTCATCACTGTGCAAAAATACCAGGTATAGGACAGTGGCCAAGCCAGTATCATCAAGCTCGTATCGACATTCAATGGCTCCTGTCCCGTCCTGTTCTGTCCCGTCCACTACAGTATCATTATATCAACCAAATCACTATAAATACCTATGCGCATATGCAGCCCGTCCCCAACGCCGTCGCTCAGTGGTATATGCATAAACTCTCATTCAAAAGAAATCAGATCCTAACACTCATAATCGTTTTTGCTCGCTGCCCAACGAGCATCCCATATAATCAAAGAAAGTCACTCGAATATGCTGCCCTGAAAGGGCCAACCCGGAATGAATATCTCATCGTAGCAGCCCACCAGCATCCGAGATGCTCAAGTCGTCAGGCCCGCTGGGCCTCGCTGGTCGGATAGGTTCCTCGTCCTCCTGCTGCGAAGGCAACCGATTCCGATGGGAGGATTTTCTTTTCTCAAACCTCATCGGCGAACGAGCGGGACTGCTCATCCGTCTTGGTGATCCTGTCGACGTGGAATGGAGCTCGTCCTCTTCGCGTATCCGTAACGGTCGGGCTAACAGACCACCGATATCGGAAAGGAAGGCTTTCGAGCCCGACCGGACTCCATGCTGATGAGGTTGGGATAAGCGACGGGAGACTTCTTGGACCGATGCCTGGCGAGAGCGAGAGATTGGTGATTCACTGGGTGGGTGATCGACGAGGCCGCCGACGTCGAAGAATCCCATTCTGCTAGGCGTGTCGGTTTCTATATACTCGTCACCACCTTGTGACTCTGGTGGTCGCTCGAGTCGGACTTTCAAATCGCGTAATCTAATATCGGCTGTCGAGGTGCTGCTGAGGGTATCGAGAGAAGCCTTTTTGCGAGTACGAGATGCCTCTGCAAAGTTCCATCTCGACGCGAATGGAGTATCTCGATCTTGGTCGCCCGTCTCGATCTTGACGTCGGCCGACTTTGGTGGGAGAGCCACAGCGGCGGCTTCAGCCAAACGGGGCGTCTGTTCCATGTAGGTACCGTGCCGCAAAATTGCAGGTAATGCGACGCCGACACCCCTGGCGAGATCTTCATCAGAGCCCCAGTGGTGGTGAGTGGTAGATACAGTCCGAGTTCTCGTAGGTTGTCGACCAAGTGAACTTGTGTCATCAATAGATGCCGCTCTAAACTTAGCCTTCTTCACACCTCTGTCACGGATAAAGCTGCCAATAACGATGGCATTTGATACTCCTGCGGCGGCTAGGATTTCTAGTGACGCCAATAGCGATCGGTACTGCTGTGACGAGCGTCGTGAGATGGTTGAAGGGACTCGGAAGGCAGTGATGGCGATGAGGATGGTTGACAGAAGGAAGAGGAGGACGAGCGAAATCTTTTTGCGGAGGCGCATCGACGATTGCCAGACCAAGGGAATGGGAAACACGATCAGGACCACATCAGAGACAATATCACACACCCCCATGACGATCAGTTGTACCAGGCCCTCTCGACAATGGGAGCCCGGATCTGGGACGACCTGCCAATAGTGCGAAAAAGGTTGACATTCGGTCAGCGTGCCGATCACCACGGCAATGAAGGTAACGACCAGGAAGCCATAAATGAATCGGAGTCCGACTTCGTACGACTTGGCCCACGACCTTCCGATGAGGCGCTTGAGGAACTCGAGCACGGTGAGTTTAGCAATCCAGATATATGCCGCGTAGAATATACGAGCCGCCAGGACCAATCTGCTTCCAATCTCGCGGTGATGTATTTGCAAAGATGTCAGTCCTTCTGTTTTTGTGTTATTGGTTCCCCAGATTAACACGACATGGACCAGTCCCATGCGAATCATAAGAGGAATTATGCTGTAGAACATGATCCAGTCCTCCCGAAACAGTCTTTCGGTGCGCACCCATCGGCCGAGAACGCGGATCAAGATGGCTGTGAGGGAAAACAACGTGCACCACCAAGACACGATCAGAGTTGGGTTCGTCTCGATTCGCGACTGGTAATCGGGGGGGTCCTCGTGGTATATGCGACGTTCAAGGAATTCGATTACGGCCATTTCGTATTTCTTTGGCCAAGAGAGCAATTGGGTCGGGTTTTAAGGTGGGAGTTTCGAGAGACTCGTCATAGCTTCGAGAACGACTGTCAAGGCGGATGGTTTCTGGAACTCTGCACCAAAGCCATGGGACGCTGAGGTGCGCAAGAGTTACGCCAGGCGCATACGAACGTGAGCTCGAGTGACAGGAGTGGTGGCAGATGTTGGAGGAAGGTGCATAAGAATTAGCAAGCGTCAAGTTTCGGAGCTGGAGAGGAGGACCGATGTTGGAGTGGTGGTGGTGGTGGCAGAGTGTAAAGAGGATGATGAGGTGGAAAAAGGGCGGCAATCAGATGGATTGGCGCAAGAGCCATGACTGGGCGAGATACAGATGAGGGTCGAGAACGGAGTACGAGTCTGGAGGAGTTTAACAGACTAGGCCCTTGGAGGATAGCGAGGGTTATCTTGGTCGCCGGCAACGAGAACGAGAGGCCAGACATGATAGGGAGTGGAGAGTGGGAGACGCCGAAGCGCAGTGGCGTAACTGATAAGTACGGAGTGCCTGGCTCGCTGGGGAGGAGTAGTTCGTCCATTGAGCTGCCACTAGCTTGGACTGAAGGGTGGCGGGTACATACAAGTAGTAGGTGCTTGTACCCAGTACAAGTAGCACTGAGAGTGTGGTGAGAGTGGGATGGTTGATAGCGAGATATGACTGGTGGAGGGTCGAAGTCGAGTGTGGGAGCAGAAGCAAGGGATTGGGGACCTCACACTCTTGGAACCCTTCGGGGCACCCCTAAGAACAAACTTACTAACGGCTCTAGGCACTGTAGGCACCAGTTGCGATCCTAGAAGCCGTTATCAGTGGTTAATCAACCCCCAGTCACACTCGCCCACACGTTGCCCACCGGTAGTTATAAGCAGCCAGTAAGCAACACCAACCCGGCCGCTCTCCCGCCCATGTATTTGAGGCCAGATACTCCGATTTACGTGAGCCAGCAAGATGGATGCCCCGTTCTTTGCTCTTCTTTTAGCCATCTCTCTTGTGAATCCTACTCATACAGGCACAGAGCACAAATAGATACCATGCGGTATCCATCTCGTCCTCCAGAAAAATCCCCGTACCATGGGCACCATGGGCTTCATAGGTAGAGATAAGAGTGTGGGTGCAGGGACTCGACCAAAACCCACACACAAGCCACCAGACCCTCATTTCCCCCAAGGGCTGGAACTGAACAATCTCCCGCACAGACGTGGGCGCCCGGACAAAGTGACCGAGGAACGTTGCCTTTCGCTGGTGGTCGATCCCTGCGCAGTGAGACTTTGCGCCTGCGCAACTCAAAAGTCAGAACACTCTCTCTCCAACTCCCTCGCACCCTCACTACTTACTCCTCCACCCAAGGAAAAACAAAAGTACGAGGTAGTCGCCTTGTCGCTATCACTTCGATGCCCTTCATTTTACGTACTGTGTGCTTTATCTCTTCAGAACCCACACCTCTAAATCTCCCTTACTCCTTTTGCTCTCCTCCGTGCGGCATCCTCGCTAACACCCCTACAGTACCACAATTACTGTCGCGTGGTGCAATACTCACCTGCCCGGTCTCCTACCGATGCACATGTCCAGATTCCTTCTTGGGCATAGTCCGAGCCAGCGCTCGAGCCCTCTCGCCTCCCACGCGCTCTTGCTCCTCGCTTGTAACGGACCCTTTTCTCTCCTCATCATAAACCGGCCCGTGCTAATTGGCCCAAACTCGAATCCAACACCAGCCTGTGGGACTCTTTCGATGGCTGAACAATTGTGACAATGTGCCCATGGCGCCACTTCTTCTGAGTATTGTCTCAACCGCCGGAAGAAAAAGAAAAAAACAGGCCCCCCGAACCCGCACAATAGAACCCGCACAGTTTCTATCGTCATAAGTTCCGATCACAATTGTCCTAAATGATTGAGGCACAATGTGCATTGGAGAAGGAATTCTATTCTAGCACTGTGACACTCTAGACAACAGCCCCGGCATGTTGTCCTCTTCTTTTTCTGGTACAGAATTGCCTGATGCAGAAGCCAATCCACAAAATTAGGATGGCTACCCCTAAAGTAAGGACTGAGACCAATGCCGTCTTGCCCACACGCACTGACCAGACGGACACAGCCAGTGCCGCAAACGCTAACGCCGCCACCGAACCCAAGGGTAGAACCAGAGCTGCGATGAGGTTCACATATCGGAAAACCTCGAATCGAAACCGGGTCCAGTGCGTCTCTTTGGTCGTTTGCCGCTTTTTGTACCACGCCTTGTGCACATACATGGCTGCGAGCAAGATACTGGCTAGACTCAGGTCCATTGTAAAGAGCACCCAGCTGATTGCAATGAATGTCCGGGAGTGCTCTGGAGGAACGTCCGGGTTCTCCGTCGTCTCGGGAACAGCTTGGAAGATACACTGGAATGTGATGGACCCGCCAAAGGCTGCAAAGGCAACGACAGCTGCGAAGAATTTCTCGTAGAATTTATCTTCGCATGAGCCTGTAGGAGACGTCGAGGAGGAAGCGCTGCTTCTGGTCGTGGCCCGAGGCAAGCCGGACCGCGCTGGGGCGAAGTCCTGCGTCTCAATTGGGGGCACATCGCGCGGGGCCTTGAGCTTGTTGTGCGACGATGCCAGCTCGTCGAGGATGAGCTGAAGCAATTGCTCCGATTTCGAATCGGTGTGGTCCACGACAAAAGTGCGCGAACTCCGGCCGCTGGCAACGACGGGCGCCAGGTACTGCATTTCGGAGCCGCTCGACATTTTCTTGCTGACTGTTGCGACGGTATAATTATGAGGTTTGTTCGTATATCGAGGAGTTCTGTTGTGATTGCTTTCGCAGCTCCTGATGGTGATAGTGCTGCTGAGTTGCTTGGAAGTTGAAACAGCCTGTCTCGATGGTCGACATCCTCATCTATATACACAGGTCTGGCATCTCCTCTCTCGTGAAGAATTGCACACTCGTTCAAAATCATGACCCTGCACCGTCTGCGCCTGGACAGTCATCTGGATGGAAATGGGCGAGCGTCGATGGCTGAATTGAGGCTGTCCACCTATGACTGTCAAAAGAAGGACGTCTCACAGCCTCCCTACTTCACCGGTTTTGATACCGGTCTAGACGCAAGGATTGACGCAAGGGCAAAAATGATTTTGTTTGGTTCTCGAGCTCTTCTCCCAAGACACCTCGTTCAATCCCTGGAAGGCTGATGGCTGCGACTCGCACGCAGATGACTCCTGAAAATGGGCGATTCAGCTACAAAGCGTCGCTAATAGTCAGTCAGGGGGGCGCGGCAGACGCCTGAAAAGGGGCCCATGAAGACGAGCAAAGAGGTAGGCTCGCAGTGGCTGGTCAGAAAAAAAGAGGCAGACAGCCTGATTGACGATTATCGAAACCCCCCATTCCCAACAAACAGCTCGCATACCGCACCGTCTGATTGGGCCGTGATCTGCAGTGTACCCTTGTTTCCTCGTGCAGACGGAGAAGGATGTGGGTTGCTACAAATAACCCCTCATGTGAATGCATCACAGCCCTCCACATGACTGACTGACGTATGGGAGGAGCAGCAGCAGAGCAGAGATGCTGCAGACTGTTGCTAGGTAATCAACGTGCGTCTTCTCCATTTCCGCGCTAACGGGCATGACCACGAGGCTCTTCTAAGTCTGTATGTATGGCCAAACCCCACCACGAGGAAAAGGGACAGAGAAAAAGATGAGGCTCAGGCTGGGGTGCAGATGGAAAGGGACAGACAGGGCGGCAGGAGAGGAGGGCCGCCATTTTCATTCACCGCGATCCATCCCCGTCCGTCGCCTCCCTCCCAATTTGTACACCCAGCCTCGCTCCGCGGAAACACCATTTGTGAAGATGGATGAACTTGGATTTCATGATGGCGCATCATGACGCATCATGGTACATTATGGACAACGTGAAGGGATCGGGATGGAATGGTGACATTACGCTTCAGTGACGGATATCCATGTGGTTGACAGCCTAGCGTGTCCGATCAACGTTACATGTCTCTCAATCCATGCCGTCCTGTACTCCGTCATCCATCTTCCATGGTAATGTTACACAGTGCCAGCTCCGTATTCCATTTCAAATCAGAAGGCAGAAGACACTCAAGAACATAATATTTCACGTCTTCATATAGGCTGACCGCAAGACTTGACTGCGATTCGCCCTCTCGTGGGGAGAGACCGGGAGCGGGTATTGTTCTCGCCGGTCTCATCTCTAGACGCCCTCCATCCGTTGATTCTTGAACAGGTTCTCGCCGTAAATCTCGGTCCCGTCGGCCTCCACGATCTCCGTGGCGACGCTCATCTCAAACGCGTCCTTTGGGAGTGTAAATCTCGGGTTCTGGGCGAAGCAGATATCAAACGTCCTTTCGGACCCCATTCTAGGTCCGCCTGGGTCCAGACAGATCGGACCCCAAAGTTCCACTCCGTTGAGGACCCCGCCTTGATGGTGGAACATGTGTTCGAAAAGATGGTGCTCCCCTTGGTAGACGGATGTCACATCCCCTATAAGCACACATAAAAGGCATCTGTATACCCGTGTATTCTGCCGGCTAGACGATATGTGAGATTTGAAGAGCAGAAGAGAGCGCCAACGTAGATCACGCGTCGCATGGGCTTTGTCGTCAAAGCGTGCTCGGCCTCGATCATCTCGGTCTGCAGGTGTCGCAAACGAACATTTCCGACAGTAGCAAGCCCACTCCAGATTCTTCATGGAGACCTGAACCCCCTTCTCGTAGATGCCTTGCTGGATGTAATATGCCCCTTTACAAAGGCCGGCACCGGCCATCACATCGACGGGTGAGAGGGTTAAGACTGGGCTGATAGGTGGAGTCATGACATGAGATCTGTGGGGATCGTCCACAGATCTGATCGAAGGTGAAGTGGATGAGGTGATATCTGAAGCCGGCCGGGAGGTGGGCTGTGACAGCATTGAGCCATTCTCTTTCTCCGCAGATGAAGTTCGGTGTAACTTTTTGAAAACGTTCCATGACGATTTTCGCGGAACTTGGCCTGGGCAGGGATGCGTCCCAGACTCCAGAGACTCACTACGACTCTTGCGTTCGGGGGTTGCGGGTGCCTCGAAGACCTCCTTCATCTCGTCTGGCGCGGGTCGTATTATTTTAGCTGGTAGCTGCAAGCTAGGCAATGTTAGAGGCTTAGGTTCAAGGTTCGAGCTGGCGTGATCGTCCCGTTCCGAGGGTGTCTCAATGACCTGCTTCGTTTCTTCCGCAGCAGGTACCGGTGTTCTCACTTGCGAGTTTAAGCCACAAGATTTCTGTTGGCGCAAATAGAGTTCATTGAGAATCGTAACCGCGCGTAGTCGGGCAGTGATGGCAGAATCAATGCAGGCTTCGAAGTCCATGATATCGTCATCTTTGCTAGCGAGCATGAGGTGGCGCAAGAACGATGCTTGAACTTCGATGGTAAGACTCTGGAGAGCTCGATGAGCAACGTCTTCAAGACAAGAGGTCAGCGGCACGCCCGCAAAAGGAACAAACCCAGAATGGTGCTCACCATCACCTTGTTCGAAGCTTGACCCAAACCGTTGTATCCCCTTTGCTGTGATCTTCTCAATCTCTTGGTGGCCTTCTTGAAGTGACTCTTCCAGGGCCAAGCTTGGAGGTGAGGCGCCTTTGGCCTTGCGGCTCTCCTTAATGTTCTCGACAATGGAGCCGGCGTCCTTGTATGCTGTGATCAAGGCTGCTACCGCCCCGATCACAGCAATACCAAGCTCGGTGCCGGACATTATAAACGCGTTGCAGGAACGGCTAGAAGCAACTTCGGCTCACTTAAGTGCGAATGAGGTTGTGGTTACCGACCGTGGCTGGCCATGCCTTTACTGCGATGACGGTGGGGTGGACGGCAGAGACAAGTCCGCACGCAAGGGGATTGTCAGAATTGAGGATGTTCGAGAGGCATGGTTGTACTGGTTATGTTGATGGTCATTGTGAGGCGTGATCTCAGGTAGAACAGGTCAAGAGGATGTTTTATGAGAGCGTGCGCGTGAGCCGCCGCTGGGTCTCCATGGGTGTGAACTGGGTATTCTCAGGGACAAGTTCCATGTTCCAGCACACACCACTCCATCTAGGCTACACTCAGGGATGAGTGCTCCGTGCACCATTTCCCGTCGTGGTCTTGGGGCTCGTGGACAAACAAGCCTGGGCGGGAGAGGCAGCCAATTGCAGAGGCATGTGGCGGCATGCTAGACATGAGTCCGTCAGTGATGGGGGGGCGCAGTTTGCAGGCGATAGCTTCGCCCTGCGCAAGGGTGGAGGGCAGCTTGGTGTGTGAGGAGTCTGTGGTGAATGCAGACTTGTACATAACAAGTACTTGTATGTACTAGCCTCTCGGATCTGGAGGACAAGAAATCGGCATCCCAAGGTATCGATGGGCACGTGTGTAGCAACAGGACGAATTGCTGGTTGGCGAGTCCTTGGAACTAGAGTCGGCTAGACTTTGCGAGGGAGGATCGCAGGCGTGGCATGACGAACGACCCACAACCATGGGGCCACAGTGGACAGTCAAGAGTCACGCAGCCAAGACAAGTACGAGAACCTAGTACAAATGCTCAGCCTCGTTGGCAAAGCTCCTATCCTCCCTTCCACTTCTCCTCCTCATCCTCCTTCGATACCCCGTTATACCCATCCTCTACCCCGTATAGCCCCCAACATATGGTTGCATTGATCCCTGCCGCCGGTGAGGCATTTGTGTATCCCTCCAACGAGCCATTTCACCCAAGGTCATTGATCCACTTACTCCCCTTCTATTCATTGGCAGGGGTCGAGATGGACGTAAAATGCAATCCTTCTAGAAACATTCACTGATATGACCACGAGGCGCATTCATCGAGTCTTTTCTACAGAGTACTTGTATCTTTATGTCCTGGCCACAGCCGAATTCATGCGCCTGCTGGTCTAGCTCCTGTGATTCTCACCACTCTACCTCCTCCTGTGGCATCTAGGTTACCTTCTTCCACCCAGCCGGGCACTGGTCCTCCCTCATCTTTATCTGAAGTCACACTCCAAACTGCTGGGAATCCAGCTTTCATGGGCCCCCCGGCTTTTTGACTTCCTGGGATTGCGAAACGGGGATTGGTGTGCAGAGCAAAGCCTCTCAGCAGACCTTGCTGGATTAGGCTCAGGACCACAGATTCCACTTCATTCATGGCGGGCGAATCTTCCCCTCCACTGTTATCTGGTACATACTGACCGATGTACTCGTCAATGTATAACCCTGTTTCTAGATCAAAACCGGTCTCGTTGATCGCTGCATCCATGTCTGCGAACTCAGGGTCAACGTATTTCTCCTCCGTCCAGGCCACGTGTGACCCAAATCCATTGGCCGTCGACCTAGTCCTCTGCTTGCCCAAAGCCCATGTCGCTGCGTGGCGGACATAGCTCAACCTGAGGAATGGTATTTTCTTCTCTTCGCCCATGTAGCCAGCGAGCAGGAAAGTCTTGCGGATAAGACTCCTCCAAACCAGGATCTCACATCGATTACGGAGCTGGAAGAGGATGGACCGTCGGAGGAACCACTGGCCGGACACGGTGTCCAAGTCCAATAACTGGTGGAACATCCCGAGGTCTCCAGTTTGGATGATCTTGCAGAGGGGAATGAATCTGTGTCCGATGTCACGGCCCTCTGGACGTGAGAGGAGAGTGGAGGAAGGGAAGCGGCCGAGGCAAAGATTGGCTGCTATCAGGTAGATCAAGATCAATTTTCGATGCTTGATAGCTTGGCGATGGCACTGTTCGTATGCCATTTGGAGCACCTTCTGTGCTCGTCGGAAATGATTGTTGGCGAAATGGAACCGGCCGAGGTAGTACAAGAACGTAACGCGCTGGGCTGCCGGATAGTAGGATAGTGGTGGCGACTGAACATCGATACTCGAGAGCATCTGCTGAGCGTTGCGCAGGCGGCGGCACTGTAACAGCAGCTTGAGACACGAGTTCGCCGTCAGGTAGATACCAACGCGTTTATCTTCTGGAGAAGGGCGAGTTGTGCGCGGAACTCCTGGGCTTCCAGCAAGACATTTGATGAAAGCCTCTCGTAGCACATTGGCCGCATCCTCCACAAAGCTCACCTTTCCCGGAGCACCTTCGGCGTCTTGCGTCGTGGCGAGACTGGAACCCCGAATCAGAGAAGGGTTTCGATCCAGATTAGTGGCAATTGCTGCAAGGGTCCGGGAAAAGGAGAGCACAATCGGTATCATGATAATCCCATACTTGGTATCTCCTAAGGCGATCACACATTGACTGTCGAGAACATCAATACAAAGCCTACAAGGGGGTTCTCAAGGTCAATTCACCTTGTCAATTGGCGTATCTTGGTTGCTTTGGCTTGATTGTCTGCCGATGTGAAGTCCCGAAGATAGCGAAAATACTGGATGATGCATTCTGAGAACGAAGTGCTGAATGACCCGAATTCGTCCTGCGACACGGTCTGTTTGCATCTTGCCACAAGCTCTCCGTCTCTTTCTGGCGGGTGGACTCGATTGAGCTCTTGATTGAGGTCCGAATATGGCTTCTGACGCTCCGGGCTCAGACTATCAAAGTCAAGCTGAATGAGGTCGGTAATGCGTTGTCCGTTCTTGGTTCTGATGCTATCGACAATGTCCGTCAGAAAGGAGCTCAATAGCGACACATGAGCCCCGAAAGCAGCCATTCTCGGTGACAGTCACTGGCGAGGCTGTACGGGGTAGGAAAGTGTTTGAGGGTGCAGTCGCGGAAAAGATTTAACCAATGTTCCGCATACGCGAAGCAGCAACGTATTTTCATGTAAGTCGTCTATCCACCTCATACAAGAAATTGGAACAAAAGGCGACAATGTCTTCAATCATGGGGTAAACAATTATTCATGATGTCTTCGGTTGCGGGAAATCTAAATAAACACGGCGGTTCTCAACCGCCAAGGCTCTGGCCTCATCGCAGCCTCGCCGCAGCCTCGTTGCTCCCCATACGCCAATACAAACGTAGCCTCACATGGCATATACGCTACTCTAATCCCGTGGGAGATCCATCTTGGATCGTAGGATAGTTATCTCATCTTGCCTTAAGAAAGACACGATTTTGATCATCATTCCCTTTGTGCAAAGACCCTTCTGTCTCTAATGGCTCTCGACCCCGAAAGCCAGTCCCTTTATCCTTTGCGCTTGCCCCAGCAAGGGCCAAACCTACAGCAACTCGCCACACAAGACCAACCTTTCCCCGAGTCGTACTCAAATGGGAACGAAATCAATGTGGTGGTTAGCGAGACACTGCTTTCCCAGCTGGCGTGTCGCGAACAACCGCCGCAGTGCAGAAAGCGCTGGGTGGCTCTGTGGAGGGATTTTGTCCTTGGATAGTATGGACTTCTGTTGGGTATATCGCAGGATTGCCCTCCCAGTGTTGATTTCCTCTGACTGACCGTTCGGAAGAGCTCATTTCTCGGTCCCAAGAACCATTTTTTCTCTTTCACTGTGTCGAGGCATGCTGCCTTTCTTACTATGCTTTCGGACATTCTCCTCTTTTCTCTTGATCGATTTGAGCTCCTCTCCCTTGATTTCGGCCGCTTTCTTCACAGTTTTGGGCAAGTGTCGATGCCGCCTGATTCGCCGGATTTCCGGCATGTGGGCATATCTCCGGATCAAGGCCTGGTCATACTCGAGCTTTTGCCGTTGTCTTGCTGATTTGATACCCTGTCGACTCGATGCATCAACTCGCCATAGCCTCACGTTGCCATCGTCCGACCCGGACAAGACGTAATTGTTGTCCGGAGTAAAGCGACAGCTGAACACTCTCTGCATTCGTTTGGTGTGATAAACATCTCTGGAATGGCCTCGATCTCTATTCCACAGCCGCACGGTCCGATCGTATGATGCGCTCACGAGCTCTTCGCCCGTTGGACTAAATTCGACGTCCATGACCGCCGCCACGTGATCTTTCAATACGTTCAGCGCCCTGTCCAATTTTCGCATGTCGAAGATGTAGATATTGTGATCCTCGTTTGCGGCAGCAAAATTGAACGCCTCCATTGGGTTCCAAGAGATGGCATTGGATGCCAGTCTCAAAACGACCTTGGACAGAGCCGAAGAGGTCCGGAGATCATAGAGAACAATGGCTCTATCCAATGCCGCTGACGCCAGAATAGATGTCTCGGTTTGATTGAAAGAAACAGCGGTGATCGTGTCAGTTGATGTCGGCCAGCGCAGGACCTGGGAGGGGCCGGAAGAGGGTCTTGATAGGTCATAGATTGATATTGCACTGGAAGATGCAGCGAATGAAGAATGATTCCGGTGATGGGAGATGTCAGTGAATGCTCCTTGGCCAAGATAAGTTGTCAGAGGCACTCCATTCTGCTCTCCGTTGTATGGATCCCAGACTTTGACAGTCTTGTCGGTGGCGCAAGACAGCAATTTCCTTTCTGGAGTCCAACACAAACCTCTGACCACATTATCATGAGCTCTTGCACTCCAGACTTCATCGCGGCTTGCCAGATCCCATACTTTGACCACACCATCACCACTTCCGCTAGCAAGTCTCTCCAACGAGCCCGGGTCTTTTGCCATAGAATAGACTCCGTCAACATGGCCCTCACCCAACTGTCCGATGAATGGCGAGGCAAACATGCGTTCCATTTTGACAGCATTGAGGGCTCTTGTATATTCCCTGGCCCGTTCGAAAGGGTGATGGCTTGGGTCGAGATTTCGAGGTTGTCGCACGGCGCCCTCGCCCGGGGGCGCGGGCGGCCTCGTGAGGGACTTGATTT